ATAAAACCACTGCAGTGCCTTCAGGCAACGCGGCGCTTCAAATCACAGTGGAAAATATCTGCGCTGTGTTTGCCTGTAATACAACCCAGCTGGGGTCACCAGCTCATTAAACTCCTCGTTGCCTGGAGGAGTGGGGTGTGGAGGGGGTCTGTCTCTCCTTCTGATGCTCACGCGGAGTGGCTGAAGGGTTCAAGGCAGCAGCGGGATGGAGTGGCTGCCTGGGATAGAGAGCCCAGCACTTGCTGACTTGGCCTTATCCCTCCCTGCAGCCTTCCTCTGTGTGGAACTGGGGCTGTGGTGGGGGTTGGAGCTGAAACTGCTCTCTTCTCTGGCTTGGAGCTTTTGTGCCTTCTTTGCACATGATGCTCGGTCAAGAATTACCCTGCTTGCCTCCCTGCTGCGCTTTTGGGAGCTGACGTGAGCTGTTCAAGCCCTGTCCTGGTGTGCTGGGGGGCTGGTTTGTACCTGATCTGAGTCTGACCGTGCCTCAGCTCTGCTCTTGTCTGCTGGCGGCCGTCGGAGCTGGGATGTGTCGGTGCCTCCCTCCAGTGCTCTGCCATTTTCTCTCCCCTTTTTCTAGCCAAGTGGAGGCCGGGGCCACATCCAGGTATTTGAGAAGGGAGATTTTGGTGGGCAGATGTTCGAAGCCACCGAAGACTGCCCTTCCGTCATGGAGGAGTGGCACATGCGTGAGGTCCATGCCTGCAGAGTGCTGGAGGGCGTCTGGGTTTTCTACGAGCATCCCAACTACCGGGGCAGGCAGTACCTGCTGCCCAAGGGGGAGTACCGTAAACCTGTGGAGTGGGGAGCAGTGAGCCCTGCTGTCCAGTCCTTCCGCAGCATCGCCGAGTGAGGCAGCCCATCGACTGGGCTGCTGGAAGCCATCAATAAAGCAACTGAGTCGCTCAGCTCAACCTGTCCTGCTTATTCATGGGGTCTGTGTGCAAGTTGTCCTGCCCCGAGAGAGCCAGCATGAAGCTGAGCCTTCCCTAAGCAACAGAGAGCCAGCCCCGACTGCCTTCCTCTCCTCTGTCACCTCCTTCCTCCAGGCCAGTCCCATCCCCTCCCCTCCATCCCACACTCCACTTTTTGGTGCTGGCAGTGCATGGCTCAGTCCGCCATGACCCTGTGGAGTCTCTGCTTGCCGTGTCGCTGCTCTGTGGTGGCTGGGATGAGGTTTGCATCTGTGCAGCAAGACTCCCTTGGGCAGCCTGAGCAGGCGGCAGATGTCCTGTTGCTGGAGGACCGTGTCCCTCTCATGATGCACAGGGCAACGGGACCGGGGGAAAGTGGAGGTGAGAGGCAGGGAGCCCAGAGCAGGCAGGAGGGAGATGGCTGCAGTCTCCAGGGGGGATGCTGGGGGCACCGGCAGCTTGGTGTGTCAGATACAGGGTGTCCCTTGTAGGTGTGAGACAGGGGGACCGGCTGCTTAAAATGGGGCGAAAGCATTGCATCAGGCTGGGCAGCTGGAAGGGGAAGAAGAGGCTGGAGGTGGACAGAGATGGTGAGTGCCCAGGAATGGAAGGATGCTGCTGAACGAACTCGAAGGGCAGGACGAGATCCCTGGGCACCCAAGACCCCATGCAGGGAGCAGAGCTGGCTGTTGGGCTCCCCAGGGCTCCCAGTCAGCCCAGTTTGCCACCAGCTGGAGCACCTCATTTTGCCCAGTGCCACTAGGTGTCAGGCTGGGCCCGTGCCGCGCAGGAATAACCGATGTCCGCTGCACAGGGCACTCTCCTGCCGGGCACCCCGGGGACCCCCAGCCCGTTTGCATATCGAGCCAAGGGGCCTTGGGATAATGACGCTGGCTGTAGACGCAGAGCCCTTCCAGCCATGCGGCGCGTTCCCTTCCCGGTTGATGTATGAGGTTATTACGGAGCAGGGAGGTAGGTTAAGTGATGCTCGTCAAGCCGTGGTGCCGCGAGCCCCCGGGAACACAGCCGTCGGTGGGGAGCGGAAAGGGGCTGCCGAGAGGGGCAGCCCCAGCCCCGCGGGCTTCCGCCAGCACAAAGGTGGGCTGAAGAGAGTCACCTTCCTCCTCCTCCTTCTCCTGCCATGAGCCTGCACCCCCCCCAACCTTAGCCCCCTTTGCTGCAAAGGGCGATGCATCTCATTGACCAATTCCTGTCCCGCCTTGCCCTTCTCCTCCGTTACCTCTCCAGCACAGCTGGCAGACGACTCAGCTTTATGGTTGAGTCTCGGTGTGATTTTCCCCAAAATATTCCTCCAGGGCCAACCAGCTCTGCCAGCACGCAGCTCCAGCTCCCCCTTTCCCCCC